GAGTGTGAGTGTGTGTGTGTGTGTGTGTGTGTGTGTGTACTCACACTGGCACTCTTTGCAGCAGGTTCCTGTCACATACGCTGGGGTCGTACCATCAGGACACACAAGCAGGGGGCACAGAATCTTCTCACAGCGGACCGTTCCATTCTACAGAAGTTCAAACATTCAGTCAATTCTGGTGAGTCTATAACTATAACTATAACAATAATTACAACTATAATGATATCTATAACTGTAACGATGACTATAGCGATCACTATAACTAAAGCGATGACTATATCTATAATAATAATAAGTACAATTATAGTTATAACTATTTGGTAAATGACTCACTAATTGAATCAGAAAATATATTAAGATGATATTAAGATTTTCAGAAAATATATATAGAACTACGTTATTTAATTCAGTTTAATTTTGAAATATGTAACCTATTTGCCAATGGCTTTAAAATATTTCTCTCAATTCAAGATTTATTATCTTAAACTATTTTACTTCAGTAAATTGAAGGTGTTTTAGTGGAAGATAAGACCAAAAAACACTTATCACAGTATAGTTACTCTATGACACAGCATTTTGTGTATACATCTATCCATATTTAATCCCAAAAAGAAATTCCCAAGCTTTACAGGGTGTGAAGGGACTCGCGTTACCCTGAAGCATGACATCCGTCACTTTAAGTAAAACTAAGCTAATGTTCTTTTCACAAACTGTCCGGATCTCACTAACTTCCTGTTGGTGGTTTCACTGGGACCCCTGTCTCATCCGAACCGCGATCGCTGTCTGTTTGGACACACTGAGCGCGCGGGAGACCGGCTAGCGTCTGTCAGGAGAGCACAGGGACTTCTAAAGATAGGCCACAATCTCTCCGTCTGTCACTTTGCATTCGGCAAAATATCCGTCTTACTCACCGATAATAAATGTGTAATGAGTGAGAAAGAAGGAGGAGAGAGAAAGCTTTCAGCGAGACCTGCTTCACATCTGTGTTTACATTATGTTTGCATTGCTACACGGTGAGGACGCTGTCAGAGGAATGTTCTGACCTTTGAGGCCACATGCAAGCACGCTGCTAATTAGCTAATTGCAGACTGCGTGATTGGGTGAGGAAAGGCATCTAGTCTTTTGTGCGCTATTTGATTAAACACCGCTCGAATAGTAGACGTCGGTTTATAGACGGCGAATGTGACGAACATTTCCATGTGATTTTACACGTTCATGAATATTTCATTTTTTGTTATAATGATAACTATAACTATAATCATAACTATAACCATAATCATAACCACAAAGATAACTATAACAATAATTATTATGATAACTATAATGATAATGATGACTATAATAACATAACGATAAATATACTTATATGATAATTATGATAACTATAACGATAACTATAATTATCATTATATAATAACTATATACCTATAATAACTATAACGATAACTATAATGATAACATAATGATATATATACATATGATAACTATAACGATAACGATAACTATAATGATAACGATAACGATAACGATAATGATAACGATAACTATAATGATAACCATAATTATATATATACCTATGATAACTATAACTATAACGATAACTATAATGATAACTATAATGATATATATATACCTATCATAACTATAACTATAACGATAATGATAACTATAACGATAACTATAACTATAACTATAACGATAACGATAACGATAACTATAATGATAACCATAATGATATATATATACCTATGATAACTATAACTATAACGATAACGATAATGATAACTATAACGATAACTATAACTATAACGATAACGATAACTATAATGATAACCATAATGATATATATATACCTATGATAACTATAACTATAACGATAACGATAATGATAACTATAACGATAACTATAACTATAACGATAACGATAACTATAATGATAACCATAATGATATATATATACCTATGATAACTATAACTATAACGATAACGATAATGATAACTATAACGATAACTATAACTATAACGATAACGATAACTATAATGATAACCATAATGATATATATATACCTATGATAACTATAACTATAACGATAACGATAATGATAACTATAACGATAACTATAACTATAACGATAACGATAACTATAATGATAACCATAATGATATATATACCTATTATAACTATAATGATAATGATAACTATAACTATAACGATAATGATAACTATAATGTTAACCATAATGATATATATACCTATTATAACTATAATGATAACGATAACTATCATGATAACGATAACTATAACTATAGCGATAACGATAACTATAATGTTAACCATAATGATATATATACCTATTATAACTATAACGATAACTATAAACACTGCAGTCTTGTCGTAAGAGGCTTCAAATGCGTGATCTCTTTGAAGTCGGATGTATCCTGACAGGCTGAGCGTTATATGAAAATAACAATATTGTTCCTCAGTGTCACTATATAGTTGGGGTGTGAACTTCGCTATTCTTTTGCAGTTAGAACAATTTTTATGGTTAATAGTTATCATTATACTTATACTCCATCAAGAGCATCCAACACATCCTTTTGACAACAGTTTCAGGTCATATAAAGTCTTTATTTATAGCTACGGTAGCAAGCATATTCATAATTCATAAAGAGGGTTTTTTATGTTAGCATATTCATCAGACAATACGTAAAACCAACAACATTACAGCAGCATCCGAGCGCCTTATTTAGGCTGCACATCATTTGATTTAAATATTAAAATGAATTGTACCGATGCTGATTCTGACAGAAAACTCGCCCGGGACCCTACTGTTGCTATAGTAACGAACACAACCTTCACGCGCATCTGCTTGACAGATAAACTGCACATTTCAGCGTCGTGTTTTATGTTGTAGATATTTCAGCTAACAGTTGGTTTTGTGCATTCAGTTTAACGACATCAAGTTAAAGAGGGTGAACTTTATCATTCAGCTGAACTGTGCTCGTATGTTTGAAACACTCCGGCTCCCTCATATGTGACCCTGGACCACAAAACCAGTCTTAAGTGTCAATTTTTCGAAATTGAGATTTATACATCATCTGAAAGCTGAATACATATGCTTTCCATTGATGTATGGTTTGTTAGGATAGGACGATATTTGGCTGAGATACAACTATTTAAAAATCTGGAATCTGAGGGTGCAAAAAAATCTAAATATTGAGAAAATCATCTTTAAAGTTGTCCAAATGAAGTTCTTAGCAATGCATATTACTAATCAAAAATTAAGTTTTGATATATTTACAGTAGGAAATTTACAAAATATCTTCATGGAACATGATCTTAACTT